CTGGCCAAAGCCGTAGTAGATCACTGATGCGGTGTTAGTTTAGGAGATAAACCGTCGAAACTCAGGGGAGGTCACCCACTCTTATCGTACATGGCATATTCAACAACACCAAAGACCTGAAGGATTTATCAGTGAGCCGCCAGCCCGAAATCCAGTACGCGACCGAGCCTTACAAACGAGAGCGTAATTGTAGTGTCGTCCGGCCCCCAGCCTCCCGCGAGACCCTGGAACTTGGCCCATAATCGAATAACGAAGAAGACGGTCGCAAGAACGAGCGGCGCCAGAACGGACGGGTCCACGAGGGACGGACCTGCGCGAGGGCGAATATGACATTCTTGTTCGAAAAGGTGTCTGGCGTCTGCGAGGTATCAGCATGCGAAAGGTCTCGATTGCATGATAGCTCGAGTTACTCACGGAAATACTCCTTGGGGGTACATTCACTTGAAGCGTAGGCGATCAGACTGGACTCTTTGGTGCAGACACATGAGGTGTCAGTGATTGGGCAATCTGGGTAGGTTTGGTCCCAGTAAGACACCTGCCGAAGGGAGGAGAGATTAGTGTGAGAAAACATTAAGTCGAAGCGCCAAATGGGTACTAACGACACATTCCGAGAAATCGGCGGTGGTATAGTTTGTTGCGAGGGCGGTGGTGGTGAGAGTTCCCAGCAGGAACAACAAACTGTGGTAAAGCTTCATGGTGACAGGCTTTGTCAGGTGCAACGAGACAGCAGTAGTAGCACGTTGCGACAGCGGCAGTGGTTCATTATTACAAGTGGATGAACTTCGGGGGAACGACAGACTTAACACCCCTTATTAAGACAGCCCTCGGGCCAAACCTTCTCTTCGAGTCCACACACACCACCTGAAACGTTAATCAACGGTTGAGCGAGTACCGAACCAAACCTACATTTACACAGTGCATGAATCGTATCGTATACATGCCCACCTTCGTTTGGGCCCAGATCACTCCATTGCACATGGTCCTGGCTAGAAGAACCCTGATGGGAAAAAAATGCTTATTAACTCGTTTAAGTGGTAGAAAAGTCTGCCTTGCCATGGATCTAAGATTGAGTGTGGTGGGCTACCATCGATCTACTCGGTAGCAATCGGTTGTGATGAGTATGTGCGCAGGGACCCGTGGGTGGGAGTGGGTGGGAGTGGGTGGGAGTGAAACGGAACAGCCCCACTAAGCCTCTTTGGTGCTTAACCTCCGTGGCGGCGATCGGCCTGTGTTGCCCGACAAGACGCTGTGCTTCCACCGCTGCGTGTCTGGCCCAATCCGAAGGATTTCCAAATACTTGGTCACTCCCCCTCTCCCCCACTCCACTAACAAGGTAGAATCATCGACCGGTGACCCAGGAAGATTCTGTGCATAAGGAAAAGACCAACCTGGACGTCCTTTCGGAGTCCCCATCGTCGGCTGAAATGACTCTGTTTGACTGAGACACCTTCCCATGACGCCATGTGATTGAGTTTGGGCTGTTTTTGCTGTTTTAATACTGTAGCCTACCACAGCCCTGTGCCTGTACCCCGCAAGAGAAAACAAAAAGGATCATCAAACCCTGGCTCGGTGGCTTGCTGCCACGCACGTGGCCTTCTAGAAATCTCAACCCGAGGATCGTCCTCCTTCTTTGCAGTCACCCCTCCCACGTCTTTTGCACCACGCCTCGTGTGGCTGCCAAGTGGGACAGCCACTTTAAGCAGCTGCCGGACTGTTTGATATAGATGAAGGATCCAGACTTCATTCCCGAGGTCCGAACTTGAAGGCCACCGTTCGCCATTGCAACTACTTCGACAGGTTTAGTGTCCCCCCTCTTTAAGGTATCCGGGGCAATGTTGATCCGCGGAAGTAGATCTCCGAAAGGGAAAAGTCTCCGGCACCAGTGCCACCAAGACAATCCTTTCATAAGTAAATATACTGGAGAGGCAATAGAGGTGCTGGCTAGCGGACGGTGTCTCCGATGATCAGCATCATATCTCCAAATGGTTAATTGCAGAGGAGAGGGGGGGAAGGTCCCGTTTAATATATGTATCTCGGTTGACCTCTTGCCAGAACCAGTAGTCACCAGTGCGGCAACGGCAGCATTGACCGTGGTACCTCGTGTGAGATCGATCCCCTTCTGGAGCTGATCGACCCAGAGCTAAATTTGGCCCTTCAGATGCTCCTCAGCTGTCTGGTCTGCTCTGTGTATCTAATTAATCGATGCGCAGCACTTCTGCGGAGTCCAGCTGAGCCCAGCTGAGCCCAGCCCTGTTTGCCACCCCCTACTGATTGATATGGAGGACTAATTCCATGCTATTTTCATCTCGATTGTGACGGGAAAGGAAGGGCTTCATCCCCCTGCCTCAGGCATCAATTTGCGGTCTAAGCCGCCGCTGGCTGGTGTTGGATTCAGCCTCGAGTCTATCGTGACTCCTCATTCTTTCTTCACCTCGCATTGTGTTCTCCTTGTCTGGGTTTCCTCAACAGTCCACAGAACTCAGTGTGCTCACAAAATCGAGTCAAATCCTTCACGGACCAGAGCACATTTGCGTTCTAGTCGAAAGTATATCGCAGGGCTTAACTTCGTTGGTGCAGCGCCATGTCCACGATCCGGCGTGCTCTCGACGCCAGACTATATCTTGGTCAAAGCAGATCATACTGTGAGGCGCCGATGGTTTGGTGCCATTCGTATCAATCCGCCCAAATTTTCCGTTGCCCGGTGAAAGTCTTGGCGTGGGAGGAGGGCTAGGGATCCCGCATGATGCCGATCTGAATATCTGAAGTGATCAAATACGATCGATCCCCATGATCAGGGCAGCCGGGTGATCTATCCTCACTGCCTCGTTTCTTGAGATGAATACGCGATGCGACTCAAAAAGCGAACCGCATCCCCTAGTGTCGGTTTGTAACCTCTGACCCAATGCACTGGTTGCATGAGGATTCCTCTCGCGCACGAGTAAGCAATTTAACTTTACCACCCGGCTACATCCGGGTCCTGCCGCCAGCACAATCTGAGCGAGGAACTCTAAAAATGTGCACACTGCACACACACATCACTCATGGGTTCTGCATGCCAGACCCTAGTCAAGCAGAAGAGAAACATACCCACACCAATCCATGGCTCTGGAACCGGGCAAAACGTGCTTTTTTTTTGGGTCATTGTGACAAGAATTTATTTGAGGTGCATGCAAGGAACAGGTAACGAGCTTGACGAAAGAGTTTCAGCTCCTCAACTAAACCTATAAGCGAATCCTACTCCCAAGTACTTACATATGCAATCACTCACAGCCTAGCCCCTGATCTCCCAACCTCAAAACAACACGGAAGCTCGCTACCAAACTCCTCTTCCTCCAACCAACCTCAAACACGAAACAGCCTCCCCGTCCTCCCACACAAGATGCACCTAGACTCCTAGACTACAAACTCAAACTTGAAAACACCTTTCGTCCAGGCTGTCTCGGTTCCCCAACTTTTGAGAACCAGGCCTTTCGGCTCTTCGAACAAAACCGGGTTCTACGCCCGAGCGCTAACAAACCTTGTGCCCCAGCCGGAAACCCTGCAGTCTGCACTTTTTTTCTTATTTTTTTTTTTGGTGTGCTGTTACGTAGAATGCTAATGAGTGGAAATTCTCGCGGGCGCCGGTCACGATAACGTACTGGATATGTACAAGAATGTACACACCTACCTAATCGGAAGCACTTTTCCACACCGAGGCCGGCCAAGTCCATTCCCCTTCCCCAAAATTTAGGTCGATGTGGAGGTGAAACCTGGAGATTTTTCTTCATGATTCGACTGTCTCATCATCGATACGGGAGATGACGACTTGGGGGGATACAAGTTCGGTTGTTTGGATCCTGGCCCTAATTCTGAATCTGAATCTGAATCTGAATCTGAATCTGAATCTGAATCTGAATCTGAATCTAGAGGCAAGGAGCTGACTGATGACTCGAGGGGTAGCACTGGGTTTTATTGAGGCGCCCCGAGTCAAGAATCGCTGGGGGGAAGTTCGAAAGCCTTGGCAGATGACTCGGTCTGATGCTGGACCAGACCCAGAGTTTGAGATTTGTATCGTTTCTGGCGCCATGACTCGAGCCTACAATGTTGTGTGCAGTAAGGCCTCGATACGACGCAGTTTGTTCGTTCTGCTCTAGCCTGACCTACAGGCAGTGGTTTGTGGCGTGTTGAACGAAGCTCTCTTCTCCAGGAGCTTTAATCCCCTTTTGCCGGTCTCTTCCCTCCTTGGCTGCAATATTAGGTTGCATGGTCGGAGTTCCTCGGCCGTGTTCTTTAACCTTGCTTTGGTGTGAGGGTTCGGTACGAGGACGGACCCTTGGTGGTGTTAATTGGTCCGGGGATTCCCGTATCCGCTCCTTGGTCCTTCTGCGACTACCATGGTCCGTTCGGGTATCTCATCTGTCTTCTTGGGTCAGATCCTATAGTCCAGCAGTTTTCTTGGTTCCTTGGAAAACCGTTGAGAATAGGGGGTACAGCTATATCAAAATTTGCAGGCTGGTTTCGCGTCGCGGTTGTATTGCATTCAGACCTTCGAGTCGAATCCTAGGCCTCGCCCCGGGGCTTCTCGTTCGAAAGCACAAACTTTTCATCGCTACGTTTGTGTTGCTCACAGGTGCCTGGACCCATACCACACTGACTAAAGCTAGACACTAGCGGATCTTCAATCCTACACATGCCACGTGGGCGACATGAGTGCGCGGTGGCACTTGCTTGCTAGTCATGTCAAGAGACTCAAGAGTCAAGACCCTTTTTGCTCGTGCTTTAAGTTCAATAGCTTATGTACATTGACTTTGGGGTTTCTCTGGGTGGAAGGATCGATAGAAGTGCCACTCGCCCCGATCAGACCATGGGACGGAGCTGAGACATTTGTTTTCTGCCTAGTGAAGGTTTCTAGAATACGAGAAAGGCGAGGGGGGGGGGATAGCAATTAGTGGTTTGTAAACTCGTGTGCTCGATTGAGCTTTGTTTGTTCAGTCATGAAGTTGTGGCTGCGACTTCGATCTCTACGGGAGAGACAAGAACAGCTTCTTCAGCTTGGGGTAGTTGGGTGTGCCCAACCCAGTAGTGGGGTCCCATCTGTGGCGGTTACAGTATTAGTAAACTCTCGTGATCTGCGTCCGATAGAGTGCCTGTGGACTGGACTTACCCGGGGATAGCGCTAAAGCCGTAGGTACCGCATCCGGCGTTGGTGCCGTTGGTGATATCATTCAGGGCTTCCGGGTGCTCATAGAGAACGGGGTTGATGAAGCCCACGGGACCCTTTCCGACCGCGAGACGCTCCTCGTTGATCTAGGAGAGAAAAATAACAACGGATTAGCTCTGTTCGGGGCTGGAACATCGGTGGCCATTCCTCCCCATTCCCTTCCCCCCCGACTGGCCTTGCGGGTCTCGCATGGGTCTAGAACTCACCAGCGTCAGCACGGAGGCGAAAAGTGGCGACGCCAAGCTCGCTCCGTAGAAATGGTACAGCTCCTCGCCCATGTAGGCGCGGAAGTTGGCGCCGTTGGCCGCGACGTCGGGGTACGCGCGCCCGATGCGGTTGTACAGGCCCTTGGTCGTGTTGAGGTCGACCTCCAGCTCCGAGTAGTACGGGTAGGTCAGGTTGGCGCGCTTGAAGTACGTCGCGACCGCCTTCTTCTGGTACTCGGGCTGCGGGAAGTAGTTGGAGAAGCCGCCCGAGGAGCTGAAGTTGCTGGCCGTGCCGCCCAGGTTCGCGTGCATCACGCTCTCCGCGTCCTCGTAGGTCTGGTCCGCGTAGAGCATCGTGCCGCCCACCGAGGTCACGTACGGGCAGTTGGACGGGTACTGTGGGTTGAAGATCTTCGCCTCCGGGCCCAGGCACCCGTTCGCGTTGCCGCCGTCCCCGGCGAAGGAGGCCACCCCGTAGTCGCCGGAGGCGAAGAGGATCGAGTGCCCTTGCAGGCCGAGTTTCAGGAACTCGTTGCATTGGCGCTTGGTGTATGCGACCGGGAGGTCTTTCTCGGCTTGGCCGTAGGATGCCGAGATGACGTTCGTGGGCTTGTAGACGCCGCACTGCAGCTTGCCTAGGGTACCGTTAATGCTTGTTTTCTGCGGTGATATGGCATCGGGAATGTACCTTTGTATCCGCCAGCGTTGGGGTCAGGATAGACGGGGTCAATGTCAGGGTCATTGCCTTTCTCCCCGTATGCACTATAGGTGCAGTAGGACTGGAACGGTTAGCCAGAATCACGAGAGGGTCGGATCGGACATACGCCATCTAAAGCATCCAAGAACGTGTTGAACAGGTTGGTAGTCGCGACTTCACGCGGCTCGTAGTACTGGTCGTCGACTTGATACAGGGTGACCTGCTGTGGGTAGATCAAGGCGTAGCTATAGATTGTCTTAGTTCCGTGCGTCCTGAATCATTTCATTTTACTTACGCCATGTCAATGTCAATGTTGGATTCACCGGTGTTCAAGGAGCTGTCAGTCGGCACAGAGTAGTTGGCTCCGTCGATGAGCGCTGGGATAGGATACGTGCCCTGAGGAACCCAAGGAGCATAGGCTTTGTAGAAGAGATCGAGGTCGGCCTTGGCAAAGTAGTCGCCCTGCTCATACAGCCCCAGAGTGTTGCCCTTTGTCGCTTTCGTCGCATCGGGGATCTGGTACAAGGCCTTGATGCACGTGGGGGTCATGTTGGATCCGCAGCCTTGCAGCTCAGTCGGCAGCAGCTTGGCTTTGCTGGAGATGATTTCATCGCCAGTGACAGCCTTCACGTTAGAAGCATGACCGAGCTGCGACGCGCGCTTGACCTTCTTGCTTTTCTTGACCACTGGAGTGAGCTTGACACCGGGCGTGATGTAATCGATGTGGTGCTGGATGTGTTCGGGGACATGGTAACTAGAGACAGATTAGCTAACGGTATGCCTCTCACAAGCGCCATACACACCTGTCACATCCGACTCTGATACTCGCACTGCTGGCGCTCTCGTGCTCATGGAATTTAGTCTTCAAGAGGTTCTCGGCTTCGTGTGCGTAAGCATCAAAGGCAAGCCAGCCCTTGTTGTCGGAGTGCACAACTCGAGAAAGATCAATGCCAGCAGAGGCAAGCCATTCTCTCACTGCCTCGACGGCTTCTTCGGAGGGACTGAATATGTCATGAACCTGATCCGCTGTCCAGTACTGCCCATAACGAGCAGAATCCGGATGGGAGACTTCCATGAGGTAATCGTACCCCTTCTCCAGATTGCTCTGGGCCAGCCCAATGCGCATAGGCAGGACAGCATGGCTGTCGACGCGGGCCCTCTTCACCCAGTCCGAAGAGTGTCGGTCGCGCTTTTCATGTAGGACATGCTTGACTGTTGCGGGAAGAGCATTGGCCAGAGCCGCAAGGGCCAGAGCCACCGTAAGCTGGCGAACAAGCATCGTGAAGTCTGGTCAGCGCGCTCTGGGAACGAGCTGGCCGAAATCGAGCCGTTCAACGCGACTTTAAATAACATGGCAAAAGCCCCTCACGAGCAGTGGACCCCTTGCAGGCATGGTAAGTAGGTACCATGCGAGATTTGATTGCGACATGAAAGCCCACACCGCCGACAGACGAAGCTCGATGGGCTTCTTGATTGGTTGGTGATGGTGTCGGATAGGCTCTTGATGCCTTGATGAACAAACGCAGAAGCGGTGGCATCCAAGCATCCTTGCGTGATCCTGGGCAAACGTCTATTGGGGTCATGCCGCTTATCTGGCCGTTGCAGAGGACGATTGGACTGTTGACATTTCTAGCCTCGGTTAGCGGGCTCGTTATCTGCAGCTAAGCTTCCGGGGCCGGTGTCATTCGCTGCTGCGACCGGAGTATGATCGGAGAACCGACTGCCACAAGGCGGGAACACGATAAGAGACTGCATTATTGGGCAAGCCGTAAATTAGCTGCATGGCTGGTATGATTGCAGACCAAGTCTATTGTTGCGAGTGCGGGATGAGCTGCACAGAAGAAAGCGGATGCTTCGTGGATCGAAGGATCGAACCATCAGAGGTAGAGATGCATTGTTGTGATGTTGTGATGTTGTGAGATTCGATAAGCTGCGAAACAATAAGACACGGTCGCTTATTAGCCAGATCGGCGAGGTTCACTTTCTTTTGATCTTGGAATCAGTCGGTCTGCTTAGTGACTTTGAATACTTATGAAATTGAGGTGGTAACTCTACCAGAAGTTCTGCACAGAGAATAGCTTCTTCTTGCTCTGCCTTCATGTCAATAACTGACCTTCCACTAAATCGTCAATTCAAGATGCACAAGCGATACACCATGTCATAACAGATGATGTGAACAGTGAGAGGGTGAAGTGACGGGGTGTTGAAAAAGTATCAAAGCAGAGGTGTTGTTTGCATTGTGGACAAATCAGACACATCGAACAAACAGGTCACACTGCCCGGTTGCACCTCCCCTGACTCTTCATCTCTCATCTCTCACCTCTCGTTCTCATCTCTCCTAACACAACATGCTTTTACTTTAACTCTCCTCTGGCTGAAGCATGAACCACTTCTAAGCTTGGCGACTGGACTATCAAGAGGGCGATCCTGCTCATAATAACCAAGTTTCTTATGATCCTATTTGTTCCACGGCCAATTCAATCCAAAGGGCTTACCATCGGCCCCAGCATGCGAGCACGGTGACCACGGACAGTGGGGATGCCCAGGAGAAGCTCTGATCGCAAAGCGGGGTAAGCATCGGCTAATTGCACGATTCAACCCATTGGTGCGTTTTCTTCATGCGGGGACGGGGAGTTGCTGCAGGGTTACATCAGCTAATCAACAAGCATAGGAAGAAGGACTTGCAGAGATGCTGAAGAACACCATGACATCATCCGCCAAAATTATCCGATATGGTTCCTGGACATCCTTGGCTATCGTCTGAGTTGATGTAAACCTAGGCTGTTCACTTCAGAACCCCTTGGGAGCACGTGCATGGAAAGCAGCTGTGTGGGCTGTTCTTGGTCTCAGAGCACGAATGTCGCGCATTTCGGTGTTTTACAATGCGGGGATCAATGGGTAGATGATGCGCCAGGCAGTCTATTTCCCCGCTTGACGACAGGCACAATCAGGTTGTCCACGAATAGCACTCGACGACCCCCGGGCAATATGGAGATATCAGCAAGACCGGAGAATGGGTGAAAATGGGTCAATCACGCGACCTTGATTGACATGGGTGTACGCGGGCCAACCGTATGAGCGTTTGGGGCGAGAAAGCTCATCATAAAAGGCGATAGTCCTCCGCGATACCCCTGGACTCCACCTGCTTCTATCCTCCATCAGCCAAGCACCGTCAGAATGTACCTCCGAAGAGTACTCGGTCTGCTCTTTGCTGCAGGACCCCTGGTCGCCAATGCAATCTCATCTGAGCCTCTCTCTACTTCTGGGCGATGGATCGTTGATTCGGACGGCAACAATGTTACCTACGCCGGGGTGAACTGGCCTGGTGCAGCTGAGGCCATGCTGCCCGAAGGGCTGCAGTACCAGTCTATTGCATACATCGTCAGCAAGATCAAGAGTCTGGGCATGAACGTCATCCGCCTAACCTTCGCCATTGAGATGATCGACGACATCTATGAGAACGGCGCAGATGTTCCGATCAAGACATCTCTGATCAATGCCCTGGGAGAGACCAATGGAACAGCTGTGTACAACGATATCATCAGCAATAATCCTCAGTTTAATGACGAAACTACTAGGTTGCAGGTGAGCAACGGCCAGACCCACTGCAGCACTGGATACTAATAACCGAAGGTCTACGATGCCGTGGCCAATGAATGCTACAAGCAAGGTATTTATGTGCACCTCGACAACCACATCTCCAAGGCCATGTGGTGCTGCAGCACTACCGATGGCAACGCTTGGTTCGGGGACACCTACTTCAACGTTGCGAATTGGCATCGTGCATGGACCTACATGGCAACCCACGTAGGTCCCTTCGAAGATTGATTTACAACCTCATCCTCGCTGACAAGAAGCACAGGTCAAATCACTTCCAGCGGTCAAGAGCATAGGCATGCGGAACGAGCTCCGCACTCCGGCCGACAACGCAACCTTGACCAGCACCTCCTACAATTGGGAGGACTGGTACACCAACATGGTGGAGAACGCGAAGCAGGTGCACAGCGCCAATCCGGATCTTCTCATCTTCTTCTCGGGTCTTAACTTTGATGTGACCCTGTCGCCGATCCCCACCGCATCCGATCTGGGGGATGGCACCGTCTTCCTGAAGACGGACTTCGATTTCGCGGACAAGATCGTCCTCGAGCTGCACAACTACGACTCTTCGACTTCGAGCTGCAGCAGTCTGTCGTCGAGTTTGCTGAGCGACGGCTTCAATGCGCTGGAGACGGACGACTCGAGTATCAAGAATGTCTTGCCCGTCGTCCTGACCGAGTTCGGCTACGCGCAGGACGATACCACGTACACCGGTGTGTATGCTTCGTGTCTCGCGGAGTGGATCCCCAGTGTGCACGCAGGGTGGATGGTCTGGGTTCTGGCGGGTAGCTACTATATCCGAGAAGGAACTCAGGATTATGACGAGACATGGGGTGAGTTGTTCCGCGTTGTAATGCTGACTCGCTCAAGCTAATGTTTCTTAGGACTCCTTGATCACACCTGGTCGGATTGGCGGTCATCTGAGGCGATAGAGAATGGCATCGCTCCAATGGTCAACGCCAGTCTGGGTTAGACATGGTGAGGATTTCTTCAGCATTGAGGTCTATTGGAGATGCCAGAGTGTATCGAGAATGGCGGTGTTTTGAAAACTATCCGGGGGTCTCGGCCACAACACATTCATAGTGATCAACAATTGAATTGCTTCCAACATCTTCAACCTGCATGCACTCTTCTGCGGATTACGAATACCTCAAAAGCGAGCCTGGTCAGCTCTCTTCATGCCCGAGATAAAATTCGTCAAGTCTGTTGATGGTAGACAAGCCACCAAGGTGATTAGCCACACATGAAGATGTGATAAGCAAACCCAAGTCAGAAAGCAGCGACCATCCCCAATACATCCAGGCACCATAATACCACCCTCCAAAGCCGATAAGTCTCATCAAAATCGTATCTCATAAACCATACCAATATTCAGTACCCCTCTATCCAACTCCACCACACCAACATATCATCAAACCCAACCCAGCCCAGCACACGGCATCTCAAATCCACCTCCAAAGAAAAGTCAACCGCTACGCCACCCGAGTGATCACAAACTCAATCCCCACCCTCACCCCCTCCATCCACGCGACATCCTCCTCCTCCATCCCCCACTCCTCCAATTCAACCTCCCTAACGACTACCTCCCACCTTGTCCCCGTCTCCGCCTGCACCGCCTCCCACATCTTCACGAAAGACTCCCGATTCTGATAAAACGTCACCCCCCACGGCCGGACATACTCGACCGGCCTCCGCCGCCCCTGCTGAAACCCGACGACCGTGGTGCCGGGCCTCGAGAGCGCGACGATCCGCCGACAGGCCGCCCGCTGCCCCGCCTGGCTGAACAGATGCAGGAACTGCGCCGCGATCACCAGATCGACTTTCCCTTGCACGGGGGCCAGCGCCGCGTCCGACATGCTGTGGAAGTCCCCCTCGATGAACCGCGCCTGCATGCGATCCTCATCGCGGAACAGCTCGTACCCCAGCTGCCAGAGGCGGGGCTCGCGGTCGAGGGCGACCATGCGCGTGGTCGGGACGCCGTGGGTGGCGAGGAGGCGGAGGTCTTGGCCCAGTCCTGTGCCGAGGTCGAGGATTATGGATGATTCGTCCGGTAAGCGGCGCGCGCGGGCGACGAGGGTGGCGAATTCGGGGAAGCCGGCTAGTCCTGGCAGGAGGAAGATCCACATCCCTATGCAGGGGTAGTTGCCTAGGGGCCAGGCGCGGTTGCGCTTTGATGGTCAGTTTTGGTTTGCGGGTTTGCGGGGGTGGAAGGTGAGATACAGAAGGAGTAAGGGGAAGCTGCGTACGATGTTGTGGAGGTGGGAGGGGAGTTCCTCGTCGGGGATCTCGCTCCAGCTGTTATAGACGAATCGTGTCGAGGGCTTGAGTCGGGCGCCGTAGTCGGGACGGTACCAGACGGAGGGGTCGGCTGCGGACAGGGTTGGAGCCATGATGGTAGCAGAGGTGTGATGGTGGTGTTGATGGTGGTGCAGTATGGGAAGGGTGGGAGTTGAGGGGGAGGAGGAAGTGATTGAAGCTGGCGAAGGCTGACCCCCTTAGCTGCTGTACGAGATAGCTCTATAAACCACTACTGCGAGAAGAGCCATTTTCAAGTGAATGTAAGCCGGCGCTTTCTCGGGCCCATTCACTGGCAGTCATGAGAACAAAGAAAGCGAGCCACTTCTCGTATCCGGCGGGCTAGCCCGAGCTGACGGCGTGTAAGCCGGCGACAGTTCCGCGAGGGCTCATTCGCAAGCGTGATGAGAGGGGGCAGGATTACACGGTTCCTGGACGCTCAGCCCGTCTACTAGGTGCAGCCGGTCTCTCACTAACTGGTGGGGTTGGTGTGCTCTTTCGGCTATCCTCTGATCTGACCTCGCGAGTGCGGGGCAACAAACAGTCGATGAGAGCAAACCGAACATTATTCAAAGCCGTCTGTTCTTCCGACTGTGCCTCGCAATCGTTCGTAGGCAACATGTCGTCCAAAACTACACGACTTGACCAACCCAAGAACTCTAAGTGGGACCTAATCCTAATCAGCTAAAGCACAAGCGCCACGCGTCATCAGAGCCCGTCCCAAGAATACAAGAACAGCCGCTGAATGCCAGAGCGAAGGGTACACGAGCACAATATCGCCTTAATACATGGGCTGGATAGCTGGAACCTCTTGGGGAAGATTTCAGATGTGAAGCCAGGCATTTGGATTGGTCTTGGTGGCCATGATGTGGGGGCTACCACGGGAATAACGCAGGAAGGTCACGCATCGTTCGTCGTCCCAGAGGCTGCATCTCAGGAACCGTGCAACTCTCGATGTAGCCACTTTCTGTTAGCGCTTTACCGTGAAGCTTCCATCCTATGAGATTATTCATCGGATTAAAATCACCTCTGTGTGTCTGTTGCTTCTCTGAAAGACTGCTGTCATGGGGAAGAGATGTTTGGCCGATGAAGGCAACTGTCTCATGTCCGAAAACAAGCAAAGGAGAGGGAGTCGGGGGGTGAAGTGAGCGTGGTGAATAGAGGAGACCAGGGTATGAATGTGACACAGCAGCATCCGAGCGGCAACGCTCCGAAGGTCATTTTGGGACTGGGGGACGTACATCCGTGTGATCTGTATGGTGTTTGCGCCCAACTGCATTGAAGTTAGATATTTTTACTGTAAGGACAGCTTGGCAAAAAGTATACCTCCTTTTACAGAAGGGAGGAAGGCAAAAGCAAAAAAGAAATCTCCCCGACTGGGAGTCGAACCCAGGTCTCCCGCGCTTGTTCCCGGAAGGGATTGACAAGCGGAAATCATGACCGTTAGACCATCGAGGAATGGAGATATCAAAAGTGGTTGAATTTAGCATTGACAGGACTTTCTCTCGACAGTCATCAGGAACAATAAACAATACTGTTTCAAAATGCCTCAGGCGGATCGTCTGCTTGTACCCCGTAAGAATGTTTCGGTGGGGGTGGGAGTGTGGACTTCAGAATAGAGTCTTGGTATTAGAACAACTAGTTCGACATTGTTGGGAATAGGATATGCGCAACCACGAATAGCCGAAGTTTCGAGTCAATATTGCATGCTTGCTCTTGCAGAGACAGTGACCTATAGGAGCAGTTAAAGGGCATGAGACGAAGACGATACTACCACCCCAGCCAGCGAACTTGCATTTCAAGAGATTAACTTAGAATTACTACAGGGTCAACAAGTGTTTGAATGCATTATTCTGTTCGGAGGACCAAGCTTAGACAGACATTCTCCATACTTGGACATAATCATCCAAGCCATGTTTCTCTATACCGTAACTCACTGAGTGAGATTCTAGGCAGGTGGTAATTTAGCTAACCCGGGAGTGTAGTTCCAGCCAGGGGGGAAATGGGTGGACCAAAAGAGCGGCGGAATATGATATGGTTCCACAAATGGGTTCGTTCAACCCCGAATAAGCTTAACACGGCGGGATTCTGCATGATGCAAGGGTACAACTCCATTTATTGATCAGGGCTGCTCGTCCCCAGTCCTCCATCGAACCATCCTTCAAAGCCAAGAGAACCTCCTATGCAAAGCACGGTTCGAGGCCTCGCAAGACCTGCGAACCCCTGGCCTACAGTTCGGCCACATGTGACCTATCAGCCGCGCAGTCATTTTATTGGGATCCAAAACGGCATGTAAGTTGACGAGCGGCAGGAATCTATCGGTTTATTGCAGTGGGAGGTAATATCGCGACCAAAATTGCCTTTCAATTGAAGTCTGATTTCCGGCTCGTCATTTCGATCAACAGGCACCACCCATCTCGACTGCGACAATCGAGCCCTCCTGCATGGACCCTGACCTGCAAAGTAACGCAGCAACACACATCAATCGAATCGATCACATCAGCCCCTGAATCTCCCAAACGGGTGAATGGTAAATGGTTCTCGCTTGACATGAATTCGAATCGGGAACATGTAGAGGCATGAAAGAAAAGCTATATAAACCCCCCGACCACCGGGCCATTCCCTCTCCATCATCCCAACAGTATCTCTCACACTCTCAAGCCTCCTTCCACTACCAACTCCAAAAAAAAAACCACTTTCAAGCTCACGCTTATCCTCTCTCCACCACCTTCAAGATGCAGCCTACCGTTTTCCTCATGGGCCTTTTCGCCGCCCTCGCCGTCGCCGCGCCCACTGCCCCCGGCTCCAGCACCGACGTTACCTCCAACGTCAACTCGAACAACCCCCAGGACAACAGCCAGAACGTCGACCAGACCCAGGTCCTGCCCATCAGCGCCGTCAAGGATGTCGACGTTGCCAAGAACATTGACGTCAACGCCCTCAACGATGTCTTGAACGACGCCGCTATCCTGAACAACAACGAGATCGTAAGTGCAATCGCCTATCGCTCAGCGCGCCCCTGCGGCATTAGACTCTTCGACCCGCGGACTAATCATCTGTGACAGCCTATCGACGTTTTGTAAGCGGTCTCGGCTTGCAACAGCGATCACTGAGTCCTGTCGAAGGTCCACCTTCTCGAAATCTTTTTCTGGGGGGAGGGGCATTGGCGGCAGAGGAGTGGAGGCAAATTAGTCTTGACTCGTGTTGTACTTAGACTCTTTCTCTTCTGAGGTTGATAATAATTTAATTGGAACGTGTTTATACACCTGAAACCGGCGGTCATCCTTGAGAGCGGACTCGTAGTGAGTAAAGATACCTTGAGTAGTGAACTGAGGTGGAACTTCGAGGCTCGCATTCTTGTTCAAAAGCTGAGCAGCAGGCTTCAATCGCGTAGCCGCGGTGCCTTAATCTCAGAATAGTATCACCCATAGGCAAGGTAGAGATGTGTCTTATTCTTGGTGCATGTGTTGATATCAGGCGATTTAATCACGCTCAACCAGAACAGCCAGGAATCGGGCCGCAATTCACTCAGGTTCTGGTGACTCGGTCAGCATCGCAATGTGAAATGTACCTGAGAGTATTAGTGTAGGCGTAATTGAAGCTGGTAGTACTGAGTCAGAAGCGACACCTTCATGATCGCAAGCTGAAGTGTGCAAGCAAAATGGATGAGTGAGATATATATATATGTATACTATAATGTATATATCGGTATACATAACTACCGTTGTAGCGACCAGAGCCGTGATCGAGAAATGCCCGGACACGGCACAAAATAAACTTCATCTGCAAGTAAATCAAGACCGTCAATACGTCCTTTATTAAAAGCTTCAGTCAAAACGCCGAACATGACAGCAAGCTACCTCGCACATCTCCATTTGATGCTGCCGCCCGCGCCGTGCAATGGGGTGTGGCTGTGCGCCGATCATGCTAGCGATCTCCTGATAGATTGCGTCATGTATTCGTTGCAGCAGCATCTCGGGATTAGCACGGCGTTCGAGACACGAGACAGAGGCTTATCGTGTAATGCAGGATCATTTTTTGGCCTTTTTGTAGGATCCGATCCCTGGAACGGGCTGAGGAAGGTATCCAGTGTTTACGCCACGGGTGGTCAGATCTTGCGGTTCGGGGCGGATGGGAAGGTAGTGCAGAGAGTCAGGGGTGTGGGAATTGGTGAACCGTGCTGGCGGTTGGAAATATGATCGGTTTCCTTTATTTTAGGCTAAGGACATACTCATGGGGTTGACGGCTGGTATATGATAGGTCTTGTGGTTACTCCCAGGTCGATGTTTGCACTTTTTTAGGCATACGGGCTATGATTGGGGACATGGATATGCATAGCGATATGGCTGCCCTGCGTATTATCAGAATATATTCTTGAACGAAAAATGTACCTTGTGCACACACAATGATTACAAAACCCTCATCTATAACTCTATCAGAAGATTAGAAGATAAACACCATCCACAACACGCCTCGACTAAAGCCACCCCACACCGAGTACCCGCAACTCCTCTAGCTTGGAAGCTAAAATACTGCCCCCTAATCATACCCATAGCACAGGTATCCGCCCTGGGTATTCATGACCGCGCCGATCGTGACATTAGGCTTAATCTCAAACGATGAAAGCGCGTAATGCAGCGTCGCGTTCTGCCACCCGCCAGCCGGCTCGACGTTGGCCGTGTGGTTCAGCGTCGGCCCACTGATGTCGTACATGCGGTTGACGGGGTCCGCCTTCTGCCACGCCCACCACACCTTATCGATGTAGGCGTGGTGCATGAAGAAGACCGGGTCGCCCGGGGAGGACTTGATGTCGGCCATCTAGAACGTCTATTAGCAAAGACCCTTACTCCCTGGCGAGGAACGCGTAGCAATGGGGCGGGCTAGAGAGGTTGAGAACCTACCACACCACCGATATTCGTATGCACCCCCTTATGCGGGATGTTGGAGATGCAGTCCCACCACGGCGAGTAGGTGGTGTACGCGTTACACGCGTTCAGCGCGGTGCTGTTGGCGTTGGCGATGGCGGCCTCATTGTCCCACGCGCGTCGCAGGCAGTAGTCCGTGTCCTCATCGCCGGGCCCGATGTGCAGGGTCATGTTGGCGAAGCGGCCGTCGGTCACGCAGGAGCCCGATCCAGTGCCGTTGCCTCCGAAGGCGTCGGCGCCCCACATTGTGGATTGGAACATGTTGCCGCTGTCGGCGTCAAGTTGTTCATTCCAGTAGCTTTTTGGGGAGGTCATGTTAGCGTTGTGCTTTACCAGGGGACGTTGAGGGCGTTGGGGGTATGGGGGCGGCGTACGGAATCGACCCGGTGTAGCCGCACTCATCGCGGAGGAGGGTCTCGTAGATGTGCATGTAGTAGCGGTGCCAGGGGAGGAACTGGCCCACGTGGTGGATGATGTCCGCGTACGCGGTGTTGGTCATCCCGCGGTGCAGCGCCTGCAGGTCGCTGAATCGGCTGGTGGTCGCGCTGAGGCCGGACTGCGCCGGCTTGTCCATCAGGCACTGGAGGGCGTCGAGGAAGTGGCTTTGCTCCTGGGTGGTCAGGTGCCGCCATTCCTTGCGGATTGTCATCTTCTCCTTGGTGCAGCCGTCGGTGAAGTAGGAGGGGATGTAGTCCGTCGTGGAGTCGCGCTTCTGCGCCGACGCGGGGACGGCGGCGGCGGTGGCACTGGCTGCCAGAGCCAGTGCGGTGGTAAGAAGTGAATACCTCATATTTGAAGTAGGCTAGAAAAGACAGAATCAACGAGTGACAATTAACGATTGAATGTGAAGAAGAGAAAGGCTAAGAAAGAAAACGAGGGGAGAGTGGTCTGCGGGGAGAAGAATGCCAGAGGTTCTGGCTCCTAGCTGGTCTTTATACAGTCCTCCCTCGAGGTCCTTCGTATCCCACGGATTCACATGCTTTCGTGTCTGTGACAGGAACACTTTGACGGCGCCCTGTGGGGAGTGAATCTTGATTCTGATTCTCAAGGTACAATGCCTATATTCGGCATCGTTTGTGGGTGAGTGATGAGTCCACTGATCAAAGTCCCGCGTGGACCGGGCCCGCAGTCATCGGTACCATCGGTAGGCGGAGCTCAATCGACTCGTCACCTCCGAGTCTATACTAAAGTGATCCTATGGAATGCGAACGAGGTCCGTTCCTCACTGTAGCTAGATATGTATAGCAACTCTAGTGACAGCACTTGTGCCGGAGTATTCCCGATTGGCCGACCGATCTGCTGGAAGATCTCTGCACACCTGTATGAGTCTCAACCACCACATACATTCAAGATGATCGCTTTGACTAGTCTCGAAACACATACTCACATCAGATTCTTCTATACGAAGACCTCAATCTATTGACAGTTGGACTTTGTCCGAGTTGGTCAAAGTCTCCGCATGGGACGCGGCGGACAGGTCTTGGCGCTAGGGCTGGTAGCGAAAGACGCGCGTCCCGAGCCGACAGGCCAGAACGCCGGCGAAGAGACTCGACCCTGACAGCAGGGAAAAGGCGCTAATGCGAACACATCCCCATAGGGCTTTGCGACGGCGGTTAGAGATCGATATTAGTTCGGCTTGGATAATGACTTCGAGAACCTTCACCGCAGGCGCGAGCAAAGGAGAACTAGGGCCATGGACTTCCGAAGGGAGATGAACTGCTGACTGGACAGTATCAATGACACTTTTGGGCATGATCTTGAAAGGTACAGTGCTCACGAAGATCGCATGCATCTAAGCCTCATACATGGCTGGCTAAACTTGGACAGGAGGTGAATCCATCAGTCATTAGCTCAATCCAAGATCTGACCTGGAACCAGGCTACAGCCGATACAGTTTAGCGTGAATAATTGAGATAAGATGCAGTCGATCCCTGCCTTTTTCACAATCGGCTCCCACGTCAGCCACCAGGAATTCTCTTCCCTTGGGACGCGCAGTCTATGAACAGGCACTTCAATCTCTGTGGCAATGAAATGCAATTTAAGTCAGGATCATCTCTTGATTCCCAGCTAAGCCCACGCAATCTGCGTCTTGGCCAATGCTTGGCGCTGAGATGGTCGAAACCAGTCTAGCGTGCTGGATCGTAAAGCTTCGAGGCCGTGGAATGCCCTATCCGATTGGGAGACTGGACTCAATCCACATGCCGCTGACTCAGATTCAGGCCGCTGACTCAGATGCTCTCTGGCCTTTGCATAGAAAAGTCAAATTCGATGTACTGTACGGTAGCTACAGTACATGTTGCCGTTGCCATTGCTCCTGCGGGACGGAGATAGGCTTATTAGGCGAGACGTCAACTTGCAAGCAGTCTATGGTGGAGCTGACTATGAGCAAGGCAACGATTCTTGTTAACAGTACGCGTCTATCACTGATAACGAGTGCGAGGGTTTGCTATAGTGTCTCATGACCGTTTCATCTCAAACGCGGATGCAGCTTGCCTTAACTCCAGATTGACTACACTGCACAGTCCCGACAACCCTCTTCTTTTCCTTCAGACACGCCCTCATGCCCCTGCTCAATCCACTTGAACTCTTCTTTCAGATGCAGATGAGCTCGCAGGTCCCCGGACCGGGCGTGTCCCTCGAAAAACTCCGCCCTCGCTGCGCGACCACAGAGCTTACCAAGCTGTCCACTGGCTTCATCTGACGTGACCTCCTGGTAGGTGATGGTCCGCAAGAACTTCCCAACCCAGAGACCTCCAGTGTAGCGAGCCGCCTTTCTCGTAGGGAGTACGTGGTTGGTTCCGATACACTAACAGCCATAAGTCAGTCTCCCGTCATCCCTGCGACGTCCTCAAACACAGCCATCGAGCAACTCACCTTATCACCATACGACACGCAGGTCCGCTCGCCCAAGAACAGCGCGCCATACGCCGTCATCTTCTCCAGCGCATCGCGCGGATTCCTCGTGAAGATCTGCACGTGCTCGCTGGCGATCTCATCCGCCATCTGCCAGGCCTCGTCCATCGTATCCGCCACGATCGCCTCGCCCCAGTCCTCCCACGAGACGCCCGCCAGCGCCGCCGTGGGGAGCTCTTTCAAGATCTGGTTGATGTAGGCGATCGCCGTCCGGGCCACTTTCTCGGAGGTGGTCAGGATCACGCACGGCGAGTCGGGCCCGTGTTCCGCCTGCGACAGGATGTCGGTCGCTACGGTGAACGGGTCCGCCGTCTCGTCGGTCACGATCAGGATCTCCGTCGGCCCCGCGAAGAGGTCGATGCCGATCTCGCCGAACAGCTGGCGTTTGGCCTCGGCGACGAAGGCGTTGCCGGGCCCCGCGAGGAAGTCCACCTTGGGGATGGTCTCGGTGCCGATGGCCATGGCGGCCACCGCTTGGACCCCGCCTAGAATGTAGATCTCGTCGGCGCCGGCGAGGTGCATGGCGGCCACCGTGCTGCTTGGGATCTTGCCGTTGATCGGGGGCGTGCAGCCAATCACTCGCTTGACTCCGGCCACCTTGGCCGTCAGGATCGTCATGTGTGCGGAGGCAAGCAGGGGATATCGGCCGCCGGGGATGTATCTGCAGTCGATGCCAGCATGTTAGAGCGATGTAGTTCTGTCGCATACGCCAGGAGACTTACGCGCCAACGGTCTGGATGGGGATGTTCTTCTGGCCTAGGAACACTCCCTGTACAGTACACGATTAGCATACACAACTCACTCAGTGGCGAAGGGATAGTACCGGCTGCGTCTCGATCTCAAAATCCTGGATCGACTTGCGCTGCGCCTCGGCGAACCGCCGCACATTGGCCTGCACCTCCTTGATGTCTGCAATGGTCTGCTCCGGGACCTCCGCCATGATCGCCTGGATATCCTGCGAGGACAATCGATAAGACGTAGGCGACCATTTGTCGAACTTCTCCGAGTACTTGCGGACAGCCGCATCGCCGTTCTCTCGGATGTCGTCGATCACCCCCTTGACGATGGCCGAGACGTCAACGGACGGAGCCGTCGACTTCGTGCTCTGCGGCGCCCGTTCTTTGAGATACGTATAACCCATGGTGTAGTTTGTCTTTGAGGAGTGTGCTCTGCTTGAAAGATAACTCCAGTAACACTGTTGTGCTGGATACCACACCTTTATACCCCTCGCCACCACCCGCGGCCCTCAACGGCTTCGGAACGAAGTCCGAGATATCCAATCATCCCAAAATATGCGCAAACGAACAATAAGTCGGCTTTCTGTCCGAACACTACATATTTGTAGCCGGAATTGAAGTGGACAAACTTAAGTTGAGGGGATGTAGAGTACATACCTTAAATCACTTCCGATGTGGAGCCGAAAGGGCCAATCCGCCCCCTTTCGGATGGTCCCCCTTCAAAACCCAACCACAACCCCTTCCCTCCAATCCCACCTGAATTCATCACCTTAATTTTCTAATAGTTCCAATGACCACCACAAAAGTAGCCCTCATAACCGCCGGATCCCGTGGCGTCGGGGCCGCGGTCGCGCGCGCCCTCGCCCGCGATGCCCAACTCCGCGTGGCGATCAACTACCACTCCGACCACACGGCCGCGAAGGCGCTGGTCGCGGAGCTCACAACCCTCTCGCCATTACCACAGAACTCCGCCGCACCGAACTTCATCGCGCTGCAGGGCGACATGGCGCGTCGGGAGGAGATCACGCGCGTGGTCGCGGAGACGGTGCGCGCCTTCGGGCGGCTGGATGTCGTCGTCTCGAACGCGGGCTGGACCCGGATGACGGACTTCATGGATCTGGATGCGGCGGATCACGAGGCGGACTGGGATCGATGCTTCCAGGTCAACGTGAAGAGTCATTTCTGGCTGTTCCATGCGGCGCGCCCGTATCTGGATGCCGTTGGGGGGTGCTTTGTGGCGACCGCGTCGGTGGCCGGGGTGAAGCCCAGTGGGAGTAGTTTGGTATGTTCTTCCTTCTGGTCTGAGATGTGGGAAGGGGGGAGGGGTGAGATGGAGTGCTGACTGTTGGGGTCAGCCTTACGCCGTTACCAAGGCGGCGTTGATTCATCTTGTGCGCAGTCTGGCGGTGATTGCGGCGCCGAACATTCGCGTGAATTCTGTCGCGCCGGGGGTGCTTTTGACGGTAAGACTTTGGTCCCCCAAGATATGGGAATGTTGGCTGAGAGGTGTCAGGATTGGGGCCGTCAGTTTTCGGAGGAGAAGCTTCGCTCGGTTCAAGAGAAGAATGCGCTTAAGCGATTCGCTACCCCTGAGGTTTGTTGTCTGATTTCCTCAGAGGGGGAGGTTGCTAACTCAAAACACAGGATGTAGCAGATCAAGTCCGCTTCTTGGCGATGAGTTCCTCGATTACGGGGCAAAATATTGTAATAGACGCCGGATTCTCACTGTAGATATCATCCGAGAAGAATCGAAGTTTCTCGCGAATTGTGTTTCGCAACTCTTGCGGTTTTGAAGTTCAAAAGGTTTCTTCGATCTATTGGAGGGCAAAGAAGCCGCAAGCGCCCGCTATAAGCCACACTCTCACCTCAGCGCTAAGCAAAGTGACAGCTTTATGATGATAGTCAGGCGTAGCCTCGGCGCTCGAGGTCCCAATCTCTTCTCCTAGGCAACGTTAGGGATATGGGTAAGAGAACCGACATGCCGTAGCTGCTATGTCTGGCTCTGCTAGCCAATTTTTCAGAGCGACGGCATCTCTGCTTTCGAAGTCATGTCCCCTGTATATCATCTTCCAACCCGCGACCAGTTCCGGATTGCCATCATCTGCGCCCTACCCGTCGAAACAGATGCCGTACGAATTGTTCTGGACGAGACGTACCAGGCCCCTGATGATGAAAATCTTTATACCAAACCGCTCGATGACCCCAATTCCTATACCCTGGGGCGCATAGGCCCGCATCCCGTTGTTCTAGTCCAATTGCCCGGTCTAGGGACCCTGAATGCCACGATCGGCTCGGGCTATCTGAGACGGCAGTTCTCCAAGGTCCACTTGGCCCTCGTGGTCGGTATCTGTGGCGCCATCCCCCGATTGCCAGATGGAACCGATGTCTTCCTGGGAGATGTTCTGATCAGCGAAGGCATCCCGCGTAAAGCGGACGCGGTGTCAGACGAACTGGTTCGAAGACCCTTCCCCAGCTTCATGGATACAGTTTTTCTCAACCAAAAAGGAAAGTGTTCGGTAGGCCCTAACGACTTCTCTCCTCAGACCCTCAACCACGCGCGCGACCTTCTATTGATGCAGCAAACCCTCGCCCGCTACCTGCAAGCCGCGCAGCTCTCGTCCGGCGAACCAAAATACCACTACCCCGGAGCAGATCACGACCGGCTCTTCCCGGCGCGCTACCAGCACCGGCATCCGGACTCGATGCCGTGCGATCTGTGCAGCAGGTACAGTCGCACTGACGGTCCGGGCTGTATCGATACGGTCCACCTTTCCTGTAAGGATCTGGAATGCAAGCGCCAGGTGGGAGAATCGAAGATCCGATGGCGTTCGGATGTGATTCCTTCTGGCACAGTACCCCGCCCGCGTATATTCTGCGGGGATATCGGATGCACCGACTTGGTGATGCGGTGCGGCGAGGATAGGGACCGGTTTGCGGCGGAGCAGGCGGTTATTGGGTTCGAGATGGAAGGCGCCGGGGTGGAGTTGTATCTCCCTGCTTCCGTTGTGGTGGTGAAGGGGGTGTGTGACTATGCCGATAGCCACAAGGAGAAGCGGTGGCAGCCGTATGCGGCGCTCTCGGCGGCTTGTTGTGCCAAAGCGCTTCTTGCGGGGGTTGCTGGCGAAAGTCAAGGCTTGGAGAAAGAGGCCTGTGGTGGGGATCAGGTGTCTCGGTCGGTCGCGCAAGGTGGGCCACCGTTTGGGGAGGACGAGGTGCCGTCTCGGTTTTGGAGGTTGTGTGTTGCCGTTTGTCTGGTCGGTGTGTTACTATGTGTGTATGTGTGGGATGAATGGTTTAGAATGTCGAGCTTGTTCTGAACGGGTTCCCTCGACACGGCAGTCATAAGCTTGTTCTAGAAGAGAGTCAAGTCCACTGTAAGATATACTTGAGGATTTTAAAATTGCAACTTGTATGTATCACAACAGCTCCCCTCTCAGCACCTAAAACCAACCGCCTACCATCGAGTGCGCACAGCAAACCCCTCCCGTCGGGACTATCCAAGACATTTCATCAGATAAGATCCGATCCCCAGCATGAACGTATCCCACATGGCACCGAAACCCCTCGCGTCCCAAGCAACACGTCCAACACGTCCAGCCTTATAAGTGGATTTTCGTGATCAGTTGACATCTCGACGCAGCTGACAACATGATTGGGTGGGAGGTGTTTCAGACCCCTGGCGACGCGTCCCAAGCAGCAGGTTAGCCTTATATGTGGATTTTCGTGATGCTTTCACATCTCGTGTATGTGTAGGGGCTGGTGGGTGTTGGGCTGGTGTCTGGAGGTTGTTTTGAGGGATGTCTGTTTTGTTTGAGAGTCTATAGTACCTTCGTTGGTCAGGATGAGGGCTATTGGCAGAATAGCTGCGCACAAGATGAAATGGGATTCAGAAGAACTTTAACCTAGAATGGGTGTGTTAGTATAAAGTGAATATGTTATCACCATTTGCAAATATTGAAGAGGCCTAGAAGCCTATTTGGTCGCATTCTGGTCACGGAATGTCCTCAAGACACAGATCAAACTATGGCACCTATCTACACCGACAAGTTAATATGTGAGATATTAAACAAGGACTTTCACAATTTCATATTCAAGTCTTGTCCCTAAATTCAAGGGAGATAATTCAAAAAAGACGATGCACGCTATCATGGCCTCAGGCTATCAACATTATATACATAGAGTGAAGTAAAATCATTCAGAAAGACCATAGAAACTGCTTAGTTGACATTCACAAATCCTCCTTCTGTCTCAGTACTTGTTCTGCGGTACTTGATTGTGCTGCCCCGAATAATATTCCGCATTCGCAGGCGGTGCTTGACTGTAGGACGCATGGGTGTTGGGCGGCCCTTGGTTGTACTGTTCAGAAGGGTATTGCGCACCGGAGGGCGGGCCCTGGCTGTAGCCCGTATGAGGGTTCGGCGGCCCCTGGTTATACTGCTCCGCGTGGTATTGACCCTGGTTGGGTGGCGGCTGGTTGTAAGGGAGGTTGCTGTTGGGGGGTACTTGATACTGCTCGGGGTTGTGCTGCACGGCCTCGGGTGGAGGCGCGCCGGGCGCCTGGGCGTGGAACATATCGCTCTGAGCCAGTTGCTCCGGTGGGATATCACTGGGGCTGGGGCCGGTCGGAATCTGCACCCCAGCCGGGGCCTGGTCGAAGTTGGCCTGGCCGGCCGCGGACTGAATCGTGTGCACCAGTCCCTTCACCGAGGGGTTGTTCGACCGGACCTGACCAGCCAGGATGTCCTTCACCGGCACTCTGCGACCGTAGAATTTCTCGTTCTCATCCGATCGCTCCACGATGATCGAGCCATCGATCTGGATGCCCCCGTACAGTCCCTTGGACTTCATGTAGGTCCAGATCGGCGCGCGTCGCTTGTGCACCTCGCTCTCGACGACGCCGCCCATGCCAATCGGCCCCGCAGCCACGCTGACCTCACTGCCCAGCGTGACGCGCAGCTTGGTAAAGGCCTCCAGGGCCTCGTAGGTGTTGATCACCATCACGCAGTCGTAGATATCCGCGCCAGCCAGGAAGCCCACACCAGCAGTGTGCAAGAGAATCCCCGAGGGCTCGGTCCACTGACCCGTTTGGGGATCGCGGGCGATGAGGATGCCACTGCCCCCCGCGCCGCTGAAGCCCCAGCCCCACCGCATAGCAGTGAAGACGGCCAGTCCCTTCGCCTCCCGAATGACCTCCGAGGGGATCTTCTTCAACACCTTCTGCTTGCCCCGCGGCTTGTCGATCTTCTCCTTCTCCTTATTGGAAGCCTCAGGCCCACTGACGGGCGGGGCGCTCTCGGCCTTCTCGTCAATGTAGACCCCCTCCTTGCAGAAGCTGCGCAAAATCCGGGCGGCCTTGTCGCATTCCTTGTCGATAGACATGGGCCAGAACGCCTCCGCGCCCAGCTTGTTGGAGAGACGGTTGACGGGCCCGCCGAGCTTGTCCAGGGCGTCCCAGCCTTTGTCGAAGGTCTTCTTGCCGAAAACTTTGGTTTTGTCCCACATCTTGCTGGACGAGCTGGCGGTATTTTGTTGTGGTTGAGACATTGTGAGGATGTGTAAGAAGGTTTTGTTTGTTGTTGAGGAAGGTCAAAAGAGAATTGGAAGTGCAGTGGAAGAACCTGGCAAGTATATGTAGGTGGGCTGTTGGAGGCTGACGTCGAAGGCACCAACATTAAATAATGTGATTAGGTTGAATTGGAGGGGCAGCTCAAGCTAAGCCTTCGTAATCCGCCCTCCAACCGGCTTAGCGCCCCCTTTTTCCCCCACCAAAATGTGGGCTGGATGATTTCATCGCCACACTTTCTCTCCACTTGGGCTTGCTCCGATTAGGAAATATTCTCGTTTACCTGCTTGGACTCCAGTCATGAAGCTTGAGTCTGTCGCATGTGAGAGGGCTGAGCAAAATGCCAGTATTTAGGCAAAGACGAAATGCATTCGTGCCCTATCACTCAGCCACGAGCTTATCGCCTGTCGGATCTATGACGTCGGCCGATGTCGGTCCATTAAGCCTTCAATGTATGTTTGCATTTTCCATCGAAGAAACTACCAGAAATGCAAGCCATGAAGTACATTGTACACCATACATTACGCTCAACCTCATCTTGACTTTCAGAGATATGACTTTCTCACTCTCCTAAGCCGACGTATCCCGAATGGGATCCTTCTCCGCACTCTCCACACTCTTCAGAAACTCCCTTGCCGCCTCAGGATCCTCGGCGAACAGATGCTCCGCCACGTTCCGCCGCGGCGTCTCGCCCATCCACTGGAACAGCGAGAAGTCGCGGAACCGATCCGCGCGGAAGATCTCGAGCACCTCGACCTCCTCTTCGTCCGACAGGTTCTCGATGAAGTGGCCCATGTTCTTGGGCACAATCCCCACGTCGCCCGCCACGTAGTCGAAGGTGCGCGCGTTGCCCTCCGCGGCGAAGATGGTCACCCGCGCCCGCCCGCGGATGAAGTACGACCACTCGTCCGCGTTGGGATGCCAGTGCATCTCGCGGAGGGCCCCCGGCTGGATCGTCAGGTGCGCCGCCGCCACCGTCTTCGAGATGGGGAAGTTGGACGAGTCGGTGATGCGCACCTCGCCGCCCGAAGTGCGCTCGGGCTCCTGGGCGAGCATCTTGTGGGTGAACCGCTCCTTGGAGGGTTTGAAGTTGGGCGGGATTTCTTTGGGGATCGAGCCCGGGTGCGAGCCCGGGAAGATGTATTTCTCGCTCGTGGGGAGGTTCTTGAACAATTGCGGGCGGAGGCGGAAGTTCTCGGCTAGGACTGCTTTGGGGGTGTGTGCTATTGGGTTCTTTGCATTAGTATGGATAAAGGGCGCAGGTGGGATGGGGAAAGGGGTTTGGAAATCAACGCACCCATCCAGTCTGTTAGTAGGAACGTCGACTCCTCACTGAAATTGCCATCGTCGAAGATCAAGAGGAACTCGGTGCCGTTCTCCCCGAGCCCCTGCAGACTGTGCGGGTGGCCGGAGGGGAAGTACCACAGATCCCCCTTCTCCAAATCGTCGATGAACGCGTTCCCGTCGAGGTCGATCCCTGTCACGCGCACCTGGCCCGCGAGGACGTATGCCCATTCGGCCTCCCGATGCCAGTGTAGCTCTCTGTAGACCCCGCTGTCGAGGCGCATGTTCACGCCCGCGAGTTCCTTGCTGGTTCCGAGCTCGCGGATGGTGGTTTGGCGCGTCCAGCCGCCTTCCTACTCAGAGTTAGCATTTCATCTGAAGATTCTGGTAGTAATCGGTTTCTGGTAGCCACGCACCTCAATTCGTACGTGCGAGTCGGCAAATGACCATCGCATGTTCGGCAGCGAGCCATGGTCGGTGCTCGGGGGTCGAACAAGGTCGGGGTTCTGGCGCTCGCGATCCTTGTTCCGCGGTCCCATCACCGAGGCGCCATCGCCCATCCGCCAGGGAAGGGGCTCTCGATCTTCTCCGATAGCATCTACCTTATGGTCCCAGGGATCACGGTGGTCGGGGGTGAAGGGCTCTTTGCTGTCGAAGAAAGTCGAGGGCGAGGATGCCGGAGTTTGCATCAACTGCTGATAAACGTCGTTGGGTACTGGGCCAGCATGGCTTCGTCCGATTAAGCCGGTCACGGCCACTAACGCCAGCAGGGACTGGGGGGACCTCGATAGCAATTGCATTGTGAGAGGGTGGGCGAGGGGTGATTGTCTGGGCAAGATCTGGTCTGACGCTGAGGAGAGGGTCGCCCTCTTTATAGGTTGGTGAGGGATTATTCGTGCTCTGCTTCCGGGCTTTCCGACAACGTGGAAGAGAACCAGGGGGTGTCAGAAACCGGTCATCGAGTGGGGAAGAATTTGGGAAAAGGGGCCTCTCAGGTTGAACAGAACAGCTGTTGGGTCAAAGCTTGGGTTTTGCTTGTGCTGGGTGGGGGGGGGAGGAATTGATGCGGGTTATTGGCGGATGGGTCAGCCCTACAGGGCTGGGACGGCACGTCATGGTCATTACGACGTCACCTGCTTTCAACATTTGCTCCCAAGCGGCATTTCCACAACGCTCTATTTTCCGATATGCAGGGGGAAGTACCAGGCTAGCCATCTCGATGGTCCAGGAGCATCGACTGGGAATGCGAAGATTTGCTCCTGAGATAAATGAGATGGGCCTTCGTCCCTCCCGCTTTCGAGGGAAAGTTCTTGCCCACTACCGCCTTCGAGTAGTCATAGTATCATTCTCCCGGTTTCTTCTCTCTGTACGCTCTTGTATGACAGTGAAAGTTCGCTATGGTATGCATTGTGCGAGCATGCTACACATCACACATTCACAGGCTGTATTCCTGGCTGCCTGTGAACAAACAGGCGGAGCCGGAACAATCCAAGGCCGAAATGACCCTGTTAGCACGCTAGACCCTATACACCCTAGTGTTCTTAATGTCCTGCCTCAGGCATTACATATCTAGATAGTATCATGTCAACGACAGTGAATATACAACAGAGCAGCTTGCAATGGATAATTTCTTCATCTTCCTCGCTTCTATAAAGCTTTCCATCATTTCTTCTCACCACATCTCTCTCAGGTCGAAACTCCACCCACAACTCATCCATCTCATCAACCATCTCGAATCTCCGCCCACACAACTCCATCATATCATCAGCCATACATCACGAAAATCATCAAAACCGAAGAAAACCCTCAAGATGATGCGTCGACTTCTGGAAGCAAATGCCCTGGGTCCCGTCCATCTTCTACCAACCGCAACCCGTCTCCCCAGGGCCGTGGTCCATGATTCGATGAAGTCACATTGGACCGGACCCCCCTTGTACAATCCTGCTTCCTCGAGCCCGCACGAGGTCGTCATGAACATCTTGCGGCATGATGCCGATGGCGAGCCGTTCTTCACGAAGGAAGCCTTGCAGGAACTGCGGGCCCAGCTTCTACGTCCCCTCGAGGAAGGCGAGAAGTACGTGGCCATCGGGATAGACGGCACCCCCGTGGAATTCGAGCCAGCCACTGGGCAAGTCAATGAACATGTGGAACATCGATTCGTCAAGTAAGCATGATCCTTTCTTTCTCTCTATTTCTGTTTCTGTCGAGTCGAAACACCCAGCGGAACGCAACTAACCACATCATCCTCACAGCGGCCCCGTTGCCCTCGTTTATCACTCCTGGGGCGTCTTCGTCGGGCATGCCGCCGAGAAAAAGTACCTGGACGCCGCCTCGTACTGCCGGATCGTCCCCATGCACATCCAACAATGGATCAACCCGGAGACCGACGAGATCTTCGTTCTGCCTCCGCGGCCCGTCGAGGAACCCAGTCGACTTCTGCGCAGCGCGGTCTTCGCGTGGGAGCCCAGTGCCACCTGGGCGACCATCCGCGAGGTGCTGGTGGCGGCGCGCGAGAAGCACACGATCACCAACTTCGTGGGCTTCGCGTGCGGGCCAATGTTCGGAGACAGCCCGTCGGCGACGCAGCACGCGCTCGTCTGGATGATCATCCGACTCTTCCGCAGGGACGGCAAGGGCGAGTCGGACGAACCCTTGGCTTGCTCGCTGCAGGACTCGATCTACGACGCCCAGGATAAGCGCCTGCTGAACCTGCTGAAGATGAACGTCGTCGAGGATCCGCAGGCTTTCCTGGATGTGGAGGATTCCTCGATCGTCTTCACCTGCAACTCGGACGTGCCGGTCAAGGAGATCGTGCTGGATATCGCGCGTCCTGCTATTATGATCGTCGACGATATTACCCGCATTAACTCGTGAGTTTGTTTCTAAAGACTGGTTGCTGGTACAGGAGGAGCGTGGTGCTAACGGGAGTAGGATCTACGATCCGGTCACTAATCGTGTCCTCAAGGCGATCGGGGAATCGTATGAGATGTTCGACTTCCCGGACCATGAGGCGTTCGGGCAGATGGCTATCTACGTGAGAAAGTAGATGCGCATCCGAGATGACGATTTGCATGACCGAGATGATTAGATGATTGGGAATGTATTTGAACGACATCACGAGCTGCTCACTTTTTTGTACCATAGCGATATTTACATGTGTTTTAGAGCAAGCTAACGTCATCTGTCTGTAAACTTGACGGGAATCTTTAAAAACATTGCTTTCGATGGTCTTCTTCCTCGTAGGCGATCAATTGTTTCTTTCTTCGGTGTGTGGGCTATCAGGGGCGGGGCTTAGCTCAGTCGCTGCATATCTGTACGGTCGCCCTTAGAAGTGCACTCGTCGGTCCTGCCTCTCCATTGATGTTTAAAGTATGACGTCCCTTATGAAACGTTGCGTACTCGGTTGTTGCTGAGCATCGTCGATCCGACTATCGATCCGGCGCGGATCGTGGTCAGGGTGAAATTGGTGTTGCTGTCAAACCTGAGTGAAGTGTGAAGGGTGGAGTTGTAATGTAGCTTGCGCGCAAGATATATTTGCTCGGTGAATGAGCCCAATCGCCCACTTACGGACGAATCTGTCTACTGTCTCGTCCCAAATTATCGCATGCTAGAAAGCTGAGACAGAAGCGAATGGCTATGTACTCAATTTGGTAACCAAAAAAAGAGAAAAGGAGAGAGAGAGAGGCTGACAGGTGCGATCGAAAGAGGGGAGAGCAAAAACACAAGCGAAAAAAGAAAGTGGCGCTGCCCGGAATCGAACCGGGGCTGGCACGGCCACAACGTGACGTCATACCACTAGACCACAGCACCTGTTGTTGTGATAGTTGCCTCAATATTACCATATATGACTGACATTATTGATTGTAGGCTGCACATATTCGCCGCGCCGATTGTAAGGTCAAAACCGAGCCTCTCAGATGTAACACTACACAGACCAAGACAGAGTCAACATACAAGCCGCGGCTTAACCATGTTATGCCTCTCCAAGTTATTGATTGTCTAAGTTGTGCGTCAATAAGACCCAGGGTTACTGCCTGAGGCTTGAGGGCCGACCACTCGGGGTCGGGCTGAACTCTGGGTCCGACCGGGGGGTGTCAGCTTGTGAGATTCGCAGCAGTGTCCGGGGTTGGCTACTCTCGCTACTCGCAGGAGTTTAAGATTACGCTCGGACCTGTTGTGCGATGTACAGTACCTAGATGTTTGCATGGCGTTATCGATGCCGAGTGCGGACTCCATTCCAGCTGATCTTTCTCCTTGCATCAGGTGACAGCTCTAGCCCTTGGCTGCGAGATCACAGTCAGATCACAGCTACTGTGGATCCTGGTGGCCCCCAACCAGCGTTGAAGGGAGAGATAAAGTAAGTATGAATACGAGAACGGGGGTGAGATCAGTTGACGGATGACCGAACAAGAGATTTGGTTCTTGGTTTGTGGTCTGGTGGGGGTGGGAGTGGCTGGGGAGAATGTCTGGGGTGGAGGCGAACCCCGGAACCGCATTGGGGCCCAGATTGCTGTAGATTTCCGAAGCGGTGGAGCTTTTTTTCCCTTCCCATCCAACAAAGAACCAAGACTCGAAGAGGATAAGTGAAATATCACGTTATCCCGTTATCACTATTCACCATTCACCACTCAGGCAGCTGCCTGTTGCTGCTGCTGCTGCAGCATTTCCGACCGCCTCCCATCACCCACGTGGGCTCTCGTTCCCCCGCAACCTCGTTTTCAATTCTTATCTCTCTCCCTCTCTCTCTTTCTTTTTTCCCACACACATTCAAATTCCTTTTTCTCTTCTTCCATTCTCCTATCCTCCCTTCTGATCCGAATCACTGATTTTCTCTTCCCTTTTGTCTTTGTTCACACCCCTCAAACTCCCGTGACGAATTGCTCACCACTCACCCCCACTAGAGGCCGTGACCTCTCTCTGCCCCGGCCACCATGTCGAGCAACTCCACCACCACCACCCAGGTCAAATCCCAGGCGGGAATCCTGGAGGGCAGCAATCCGACCGTGTACGACTCGTCGAACCCGATCATCCTGTTCATCATCCAAGCGGGTATCATCATCGTGCTGTGCCGGTTGCTCCACTGGCCGCTGTCGAAAATCCGGCAGCCGCGCGTCATCGCTGAGGTGATCGCGGGCGTGGTGCTGGGCCCGTCGGTGATGGGACGCATCCCCGGCTTCACCGACGCCATCTTCCCCAAGGCGTCGATCCCGGGGCTGAGCCTGGTCGCCAACCTCGGCCTGATTTTGTTCCTGTTTCTCGTCGGCTTGGAGACCAACCTTCGCTTCCTGATCAGCAACTGGCGCGTGGCGATCAGCGTCTCGGCCGCGGGGATGGTCCTCCCCTTCGGGCTGGGCTGCGCCGTCGCCTACGGACTGTATAATGCCTTCCGCAACGAGCCCGACACGGTGGACATCAACTTCGGCACGTATTTGCTGTTCATCGGCATCGCGATGGCCATCACCGCCTTCCCCGTGCTGTGCCGCATCCTCACCGAGCTGAAACTGCTCGGCACCAACGTGGGCGTGATCGTGCTCTCGGCGGGCGTGGGCAACGACGTCGTGGGCTGGATCCTGCTGGCGCTGTGCGTGGCGTTGGTGAACGCGGGCTCCGGGCTCACCGCGCTCTGGGTGCTGCTGGTCTGCGTCGGCTACGTGCTGTTCCTGATCTTCATCTTCCGGCCCCTATTCCTGCGCTTCCTCGCCCACACTGGCAGTCTGCAGAAGGGGCCCAGTCAGTCCGTCGTGGCCATCACCCTGCTGATCGCCCTGGCCTCCGCCTTCTTCACCCAGGTGATCGGGGTCCACGCCATCTTCGGCGGGTTCCTGATCGGCTTGCTGTGTCCGCACGAGGGCGGGTTCGCCATCAAGCTGACCGAGAAGATCGAGGACCTGGTCGCGGCGCTGTTCCTGCCGCTGTACTTCACGCTCAGCGGGCTGCAGACCAATTTGGGTCTGTTGGACAACGGCACCGTCTGGGGGTACGTGATCGCCATCATCGCGATCGCGTTCATCGCCAAGGTCACCGGCGGGGCGCTGGCGTCCCGGTTGAACGGACTGCTCTGGCGGGAGAGTTTCTCGATCGGCGTGCTGATGAGTTGTAAGGGGTTGGTGGAGTTGATTGTTTTGGTAGGTTCCCTTTCTCCCCTTTATCCTTATTCCCCCCAACTCCCGAGTACTCCTTACGGAGAAGAAACTGACAATGAACAGAACATCGGCCTCCAAGCCAAAATCCTCAGCACGCGCACCTTCACGATGTTCGTCGTCATGGCCCTAGTTACCACCTTCGCGACCACCCCCTTAACCGTCGCCCTGTACCCGAAATGGTACCAGATCAAGGTCGACCGGTGGCGCCGCGGCGAGATCGACTGGGCGACGGGCAAACCGTTGCCGCCCGACAGCCGCATGGACAGCATCACGGCGGCCAAGTCGGCGCAGCACGGCGACCACCACGAAACGCTGGGCCACCACCGGCCCGTCCGCAATCTGCTGGTGTATCTGCGTCTCGACGGCCTCTCGGGCCTATGCACACTCGCCGGCCTCCTCGCCCCGAACCCCCACACCCACAATCACACCAACAACCACCCGCGCATCCACCCGGACAAACGCACCCCCACCGATCCCGACACCAAGCACGCGGACGAATCCGCTCCCGCTGAAACGGAAATCACCGAGCTCGACACTCCGACCTCGCAGAGCCTGCAGGTGCACGGCGTGCGCCTTCTGGAGCTGACGGACCGCGACTCGAGCGTGATGAAGGTCTCGGAGATCGAGCAGTACACGCTCTCGGACCCGGTGGTCAACACCTTCCGGGCGTTCGGGCAGTGGCACGACCTGTCGATCGTGGCGGGCGTCTCGGTCGTGCCGGAGCACTCGTTCGCCGACACGGTGGTCGGCATGGCGCGCGAGGAGGCCGCCGATCTCGTCCTGCTGCCCTGGAGCGAGACCGGCGCCATGGGCGAGCAGTACCACCTGCATTCCCCCGTCGAGGAAGGCGTCCGCTTCCTGGACGGCCAGCCCTACGCGGCCTTTGTCGGCAGTGTCTTGGATGGGTCCCAGGTCGCCAGTGCTAATGTGGGTGTCTTGGTGGAGCGTAATCTGTATGCGCCCCAGCATGCGCTGGGCGCGGCTGGGGGCAGCGGGGGTGGGGCCAGTGGGGTGAGGCATCGCCCGTCGTTGGGGGCGATGAGTGTGCAGCGGGGTTCGTCGGTGTGGAATGTCCGCGGCGGCGGCGGGGCGGCCAAGGCGCATCATATCGTCGTGCCGTTTGTCGGGGGCAGGGATGATCGGCTCGCGGTCCGGTTTGTGTGTCAGGTCGCGAGCTGTGATTTGGTTACTGTGTCGGTCGTGCATTTGGATATTCCGGGGGCCAGTAGTGTTGGCGTTAGTGCTAGTGGGAGTGGGGTCGTGCCGGAGGAGTTGGTCGAGTCGGATGCCACGTTCTTGTCGGTGATGAAGGATTCATTAGATGAGGAGGTGCTGGATCGCGTGGTGTTCAAGAAGACCGCGGTCAAGACGGAGGCAGAGGCCGTCGCGACGATGGTCGAGCTGGTCAAGGATGAGATGGTTCGCTCGCATCACAAGGCTGGGAACCTCGTCGTTGTGGGCCGACGGCACTCGGCTCTGGATGAGCTACTCGCCGATGGTGGTGCTGCTCACGACGAAGTCGGCGCGGAGGCCGCGCGCGTGCTAGGCGTCCTGGGCCAGGCCTTGGTGAAGAAGGAGAACCGCATCGTCGGCGATGTGCTGGTCATGCAGAGTAAATAAAGGCGAGAGATCCTCAAAACAGGACGGACATACGTGATACCCCCCCTCTTGCTTTAAGATTGAAAACTTTTCCTCCTGCTTGGCTGTTTTATGATCTACTGGAGAAAGATAGGAATTGAGATTGAGTGTTTTGGTATTTTGATTTCATCATGATTGTAATATGTATGTGCAGAACATTTGGGGTTGTAATGCTAAGTAAACCCCGACATAACACTTATGTACCGTACTTTCAAATATGCAAATGCAATGCTAACATGACAGATTTGACTTTGACCTGGCCTGT